ATCTGTTTCAGGATAAAGTACATTTGGTTCTATAACCATTCAGCATTAAGAATAAAACCGTGGAGATAGTATTTTCTGATCTTTCTGTAGAACTGCCTTGGTGGGTCCTTGAAGGCGAGTCTTGACCAGGATTATCTGTACTCGGGGTTAGCTGCTTCTCACTGGTATTGTTTGAGAATTAGTTATGACTTTGTGAATAATGTTTTGGAATATTACCTTCTTGGGTATATTTAATTTTCTTTCGGAAAATGCACATTAATAATCAGTAGCTTTAGCTGGATGCTTGGGGAGATCCTGTAAGACTTAGAATGGTTTTAAAGTGCTTACTGTTGCAGAAAGAACCTTCCTTCTGAAGGCTCCAAAAATGATATTGGCTCTTGTGGGAGGAAATGTTTTCTAGTTTTCGGTAAATATACACAAGTTCTTTGGTTATAAAACCTTATGATGGAAAATGTGTTTAAGAAACTTAGTGCACTCACTCCCTGGCAGGAACTTCATGAAAGAGGCCCTAACACATTTAATGCCCCAGTTTAATGTATTGCACAAGTCTTATTTTCTGCAACTGAGTAGACAGAACATCTTTTCTCCTTTTATTCTAAGCTTCCATTTCCCCCTCCTCCACCTCCCTACTTCAGTGGCATAATAAATGGTAATCTCATTTCCTGCACTGCAGACCTATTTACCTGGATGCCAGAGCTCACCCTTGCCTTTCTCCTGTCTACTCTTTCTGAAATGCGCTTTTACTTTCATCTCCCTGGCTTCGTTACCCTCGTTTTTGTAAGCCTCTTCTAATCTGCACTCCATGTACTTTTATCTGCAATGTTGAATGAATATGGCTGTTCTGCAGAGCCACCTTTAAACATGCACCATCTCCCAGATTGGCCTTTTCTTCCATTGTAAATTAAAAATCCCTTTTACAGTCTGTAATAGTGGGAAAAAATTAAAGAATCATTATCAAAAGGTTTTTCTGCCAATTTAAAATGCCTTTATTCCTTTTAATTCCATTATCTTTCTAAACTAAGACTTAGATTTACAGTTTATTTGTGCCTATATGGATTATATTTATTACAAAGGAAAACCTTTATGCTCCATATCCTTTCTGGTCTTATTTTTGGAGCTCAGAATTGGTAATTTAAAAATAATGTCTCTGAGTATAAGAATGACAGAACATAGGTAACCTACAAAGCCTAAAATAAAGCAAAAATGCATTGGCCCCTTAAAGACTTAACTCATTTAAAAACATGTCTTCTGGGTAAAACATGTGTCTTTCTACATGTAGAGAAACGAGTATGTAAGAGACTGAGCTGGCCCATTGTGGGGCCTTTTGGGATCTGTTCTAGCTGTGACTTCTGCTCCTTAGGGTTAACTCCCAGATTCCAGCTTCCTGTCTGTGACCACATGCCCTGAGATCGAAACCATGTCAGGATGGGTGTGAGCGTGTTTAGTGTGTAAATGTTTCATGGCAACAGCTGCCAGTGGAACTGGGAGGCGGTCTGGTAAATCATCGTGGTTGATAACAGGGTTTATCCTACCCTTGAGAGGATGTATCTCTTACCCAAGCCTGGATATTTCTGCTGTAGCTAGTGTGGTTGATGATTTAATTGAGGTGGGAATAATACAGGACACAGTAAAAAAAAGAGAAACAGCTTTTTCAGGCTTAAAGAATTACTCAAGCCATGCTGATTGTTGCAGTGAAATGTTTTTAATTCCTCTTAAACTGCTTGAAATATCTGCTGAGGGATGTTAAATCAGCCCCAGCATTTGTGGAGTCGTGTTGCCCAGAGCCGGTACTGTATAGTTTTCATGGATCCCCATAGGAGATTTTCACTTTCTGCCCTTGGTGTCATGGCACTACACTTGGACTTACTTTTGAGGCTAACCCCTTTGCCCCATGCAATTAAATGCCAGGCTTCAGAATTTTGGCTCCAGCTTCTAAGCCACTGGATCACCTAACTTGCTTCATGCTGCCTGTTTGTACATAAAATTTATCTGCTTTGTGCCTTTCCAATAAGGAAGTTGGAAGTTAAGCTTCTATAATTGTGCCCGAAAAACCATGTTTGGGACTGATAGTTTAGTGAGATGTCAAAATAAACTCGAAATAGAAACCCCTCTTCTCCAACTCCCATCTGAGTCCCATTTTATTGCAGACTGCATAAAATCAAAGTGCTGGAGCACAGCTGTTCTAAAGGCTGAAGGTTCTCATGGCTGTAGCGTGCTTTGGAAACTCAACCCTACCAGATTTTCTGTTAATGAAAATACTTGTTTTGCTTAATATAAACAAAGTTTCTGCACAGCATTTGTTATCAGGAAAGTTTTTCATTCTTTTCCCCTTAGTCCCTCATTTCTTTATCTCTTTTGTCTCACTGGAAAATTCTAAGGAGTGAGTTTTACTTTGTTTTTGGTATTATTGTAACCGATGCCATTTCTCCCTAATTTTATGTCCTTCTCCAAAGTAAGAGACTTAAAGGTTGGAGTTTTTGTGTAGGTCAGAAATATTCCTGTGGAAATAGGAAAGACTGTGCCTGTCATAGCACCTGCTCCTGTGTGGGCCGTCTCAGAGCTATTTGGCTTCTTGGCTTGGAAGTTCAGGCAGTGTAAGGGCAGCTCTCTTAAGTCATCTGGGAAATCAGTATCACTTCTTCCCTGCCTTCCCCAATCCTGTTTGTAATCCCTGTTC